CTCAATTTTCATTTGAGAACAAAATAAAAATTTTATTTAAAAAATTTCTCAAATTTAATTATACTTATTCCTATCAAAAACTACTTAGCTTTCTCATATATAAAAAGAATAGAAGGAAATGCCACATGTCAAGAAGGGATTAGCTCTCCCATCCTGATGGTGTAAATATAGCTGAGTGGGTTAACCAGGTTTGACCTGGACATACTCGACCCATAATATAAAACACACAACAAGAACACAAAGTATGACCTAGACCGGGTAAATCTCCTCAGTCCGAATTATATTTCTTACTCTATCTCAAGAGTGAACTTTTTTAGTGAGATCAAAATTAGATCCCCTCCTCTACCCAATATCATCATATTTATAGAGGAGGATTTGTGACCTTCCCCTGTTCATCCATGGACAAAATAGGAAGCCCGTGGGAAGGTCACTGTACATAATCAATCTACTATTCAATCAATGAATTTAGCAATTACAAGCCAAGACATGTACTGTTCAATCAAAGACTATAAATGTATATTCTCAATCCAATCAGCCCTGCAAAATGACAAACATTCCTTTTACTGTTTGCTTCGTGATGGGCAAACGGCGGGGTGGTTTCTCGATCTTTGACGTGGTTCACCACGCCTGAGATACTGGACCAATGTTTGCAAAGTAAAGTGACATGACCGGTCACCTCTCTCAAAGGTTACCCGGTCATTTCTCGCGCTCAACCCGTCTCTGGTCTTCTAGAATGTCCTTTGTAACATTAAGCGAAATTTTGGCTATCGCCCAAAATGTGACCGGTCACTTTTTTAAGGAAAGTGACCGGTCAACTTTTGACCCGTCTCAATCGAAGAGTTAACCTCATTTGGTGATTGATGAAAGTGACTGGTCATATTTTGACCTGCCCCTTTCGGTTGTCCGGGCCAGGTATAGGGATATACCCATCAAGAAGTCCTCCACTTACCGGCCTTGTGAGGAAGTCATCAAGGGCGGGAAGTATATTTATGTTGATCTATCACTTTTGAAATCATCAAGTCATTCCCATGACCTGTCCTTCTTTAAAATCATCAAGTCATTCCCATGACCTATCCTTCTTTGAAATCATCAAGTCATTCCCATGACTTGTCCTTCTATGAAATCATCAAGTCATTCCCATGACCTTTCCTTCCTTGAAATCATCAAGTCTTTCCCATGACATGTCCTTCTTTGAAATCATCAAGTCATTCCCATGACCTGTCCTTCTTTGAAATCATCAAGTCATTCCCATAACCTGTCCTTCTTTGAAATCATCAAGTCATTCCCATGACTTGTCCTTCTTTGAAATCATCCAATCTTTCCCATGACCTGACACTTTGGGGTTCCTCAGACCTGGCACTTTGCGGATCATCACACGTATCACTTTGGAGTTTATCAGACTTGGCGCTTTGGTGTTCATCAGACGTGCCACTTTGGAATTCATTAGACCTGGCACTTTGGAGTTCATCAGACCTGACGCTTTTGGGGTTCATCAGATCTGGAACTTTGGAGATCATCAGACTTGGCACTTTGGAGTTCATCAGACTTGGCACTTTGGAGTTCATCAGACCTGGCGCTTTTGGGGTTCATCGGACCTGGTACTTAGGAGTTCATCAGACCTGGCACTTTGGAGTTCATCAAACCTGGCACTTTGGAGTTCATCAGACCTAGCACTTTGGAGTTCATCAGACCTGGCGCTTTGGGGTTCATCAGACCTGGCACGTTGGTAATCATCAAGTCTTCTTCTCAGACCTATCACTTTTGAAATTATCAAGCCTTCTTCTCGGACCTGTCACTTTTGTAATCATCAAGTCTTCATCTCGGACCTGTCACGTTTGAAATCACCAAGTCTTCCCCTCGGACCTGTCTCTTTTGAGATCATCAAGCCTTCTTCTCGGACCTATCACTTTTGTATTATTGGGAAATCTAAATGTAAACTCTAAATAATTAACCGGTCTTTTGCAACGTAAGTCCTCCTAGTCCTTCTAGAGTACCCGGTCAAGTGCCCGGTGCACACCCCTTCAAGAGTAACCGGTCAAGTACCTGGTTATATGATGCAAATCTCATATGATAACTAGGTTAAGTCCCAAGAGTGGAAGGGTTAACATAAGAGTTCTCGGGAGGGTTCTAGGAAAAAGAAGGTCGGCCCTCTTCAAATGGAATGGTCACCAATTAAGGAGGCTTTCATGGTCCGGTCGCATTCCTTTGTGCCCGGTTGAACTTCTTGAATGATTAAGTTTCTTGCATGGTTATTTTCTTGCCTGGTCCCCCTTTGAAGTTGCATGGTCTGACTTGCCTCTACTTGAACATGCTAGATTTAGCTTCCAAGTAAAAAGAAATAGCCGGTCTTATACCTTAAGAATTGTTTTAAGAATACCCAGGTCATATAATGCCCTGGTCAAAAATGTGACCGGTCAAAGTCGAAGTTCTCCAGATTGGTCTGATTTTCCCAAATCCAACCTTTTAAAAAGTGACCGGTCACTTTTGACAATGTTGACCGGTCAAATTTTAATTCTGCCCCATTCGCTTTTTCTTTCCAATCCATTTCCTTAAAAAAGTGACCGGTCATTTTTGACCATGCCACTTTCCTTTACTCCTTTGGCCTGGATGTCATGCCTAACGGCAACCTTGCTCAAACTTCGAACAAATAATCCGAAACGGTTTTGGAATCATCAAGTCTCAACATCAAGACCCGATCTTTTTCGGAGATTTTGACCATGTCCTATGATCGCGAACCTTCTCCAAGGTTCAGCCCTCTTCCAGGCAACACCCTTCTTCCACGGCCCCTTTTCCAGGTTTTAAGTCTTTTAATGTGTCATTCTCTAATTATTAGGTTGACCTAGTCAACCTAATCTTCCCACATGGGGGTATACCGGTGAGAACCAGCCCTCATCCAATCCTCCACGTCCATATATTATGTGTTCGGAAATTCTAGTCTTCCCTAGACATTCCGATCCACAAAGGATGGCTCATACAAGACGGTAATATTTTTTTGGCATCTTTTCTAACCCTTTCCGTCAAAAAGTCGGTAGGGATCCATGTAAGTATGGATGCGAATCCTCTTCCAGATCCAGCCTATCTCAAGGCGATACCTCAACATCAAGGCCCATATCTCAAGGGTTTCTTTTTTTTTGCTATCAGCCCATGCAACGGTCAAGGTCCTAGACATCAAGACTGATCCGTCTACAGCAAGTTTAGTAATCTTGACCACATCTTATCCACCATCTCTTCTTTTCTTGATCATATTCATGTGGGTGGATTCAAGTACTCGCCTATGGGTCTTCCTCAAGCCTCGTAACGAATATTTCACTCAATTCCCCTTTCAAGGTAATCTCCATGAGCACGACCCTTGCATTCTGGCAATCTGTCGTGTTGTGAGAGTCGGATTGGTGGTAGGTGCACAACTTCTCTGTCCAAGACCGCTTGGGTTGTTCTCTCATTCCTTATTTGATGAACAGACTGTTAGAATAAGTGCCCTTCACTAGAGGGGGGGTAAATAGTGAGGCACGAGAATGTTTATAAATTTTCGCGGAATAAAAATTGCAGGGATAAAGTAAAGAGCGGAATAAAAAGGAGTAAAGGGAGCACACCAAGATTTACCCTGGTTCACCACAACTTGTGGCTAATCCAGCCTCCCGAGAGACTCTCTCGAGCTACACTACTTCCGTTAAGCTTACGGGTGCTTAACAAACCGTTACAACCTGAGAACTCGAGTCCCACGAGCCTCAATACACTTGCTCGGAGATACCGCACTCCAAGACTTCAACCCGAAGGAAAATACCTTTCCTTCGTACAAC